TATATTTCACCATGATTCAAAATATAGGTCGCGACAAATCATCATATTTTTCATCTATTCTTGGGCATAACATATACTTAATCATACTACATGCAAATATCTGGATTCAGCATAGGCTAATGTTTTTTAACAAATAGCAATTTCGCTATTGTGTCGTATGCAAATAGTAAAGAGGTAGGTTCTGTTAAAAATTACCTAGAACTCGATATCTCATATTCATTTTGCATATATATCCATTTTAGTACATTATATATTCCAAGAAAGCAGCAAAAAGAAATATATATACACAAATCAAATGTCCTTTGAGGAATATTTTGTTGAACATTATTATTTTACTAATTCATCTCTAGCACATATTAATACCCACCCATATATCCAATCAGTCACTACATTGCGTTTTTAACATTAACAACTAATTTCAACATGCATGCAATTCCCTTAAGGACCATTCTTTGTGATGTTAAATCACATTCCATGTCGAATTTAGATCGTTATTTTTTTCTATTTCTGATTGCCATTTCATGATTAATTTAAATTTAATTCGCGTGAGGAAAAGACAACTTGTGAAAAAATATTGGAGAAATCTTTTCAACAATCAGTCTCGAATAGAATCATGGTGGCGCAAAAGACTTTAATGATATAAAAGATGATCAAAATTTTAAAGGTTTATTATAATAATGTTAAACTAAATAATTTCCAGCCCCCTTGTTTACTTTTTCTACCACAACTGTATGAACTGGAATATTTGGTATCGAAATTTCAATAGCCTAAAGAGGCTAACAAAAATTTTGTAATTATCCATCATTAAAACAATTTGCATGAAATATGTTATGAGCTCAATAAATGTGTGACATTATGCAAACAAGACAAATATACGGAGCTCTTAAGGTGCAATTGTAAACATATTTATTTATTATTTCGTTTAAACGAAATAATTAATTCGTTTAAACGAAATAACATCATTTATTTCGTTTTAACGAAATACCCTATGTTTATTTCGTTTAAACGAAATAATTAATTCGCTTAAACGAAATAACTAATTCGTTTAAACGAAATAAAAAGATGAGTTAATTATTTCGTTTAAACGAAATAGACGAAAAAATTAATTCGTTTAAACGAAATAAACATCGGGTATTTCGTTAAAACGAAATAATTATTTCGTTTAAACGAAATAATTATTTCGTTTAATCGAAATAATTATTTCGTTTAAACGAAATAATAAATAAATATGTTTACAATTGCGCCTTAGGGCTCCGTACAAATAATACGTGAACTTATCTATAAAATATGTAGCAGCGACGAACATGACTGAAGATGACGGCACGATAAAAAAGTATACGATGTTGACCACAACTTTATTTGATGTTAACTCGCCGATGACATGGCGTCCTGACAAAAAAGAACACAGAGAAAGCATCTCTCTCTATTTTTACAGCAAGTCAAATTAGTTAGCTTTTATTGTAGTCTGTGGGATGAGCCCCAGTTTCCTCCCTTTGCCACAAACGCAAGACAAAGTTCCAACACAATTTGTTTTAAAAAATTTGAATTAAAAACGGAGTGTACTAGTTGTTGTGTTAACAGTTTTGATTCTTAAAACACGGCAGTAATTTTTGTTTAAAACTTTCAGATGAGGTATATCGTATATCTAGATTTTGGTCTCTAGTTTTCGTTTATTTGAGCTTCTAAAAAAAAACGCACTATTTTGGTTCAAGGGAAGTAGCTCCAAGATATGGACTCACTCCACTAATTCATTTGCCATCTCTTCCCATGTTAAAACACGAAATTCAACTTTCTACAACTTTTTCCAGAAATCTCATTGAAAGCTTTCCAATATGTCGAATGAAAGCCTAACCAATTCTTAATGTCTCCTAAAAAATTCAATATATTATAATATGTTGACCATGAAAATTGAAAGTAGACTTCTACCGGTTATACTCATCCGCAAGAGTTGGGCAGTTCACAAAACGACTATTTTTAGAATTATTTTTCCGTCTTTAAGTCTCTCATCATCTCCCCAAATCTTTAAGTTAATGCAATTTCAGACATCAAATTCCAAATCTAGACCAAAAATTAATGAAAAATAGGCATGCAAAAACCCTAAGAGAGAGAGAGAAAGAAGATTTCTAAAATAGCCTGGACTACATTCGTCAATCATTTGCATAAAATGTTTTATTGGAGTCCTATATTTATTTAATTTCAATAGCAAAGGGAGGGAACTTCAATAATCCTACGCAAGAATAACAGGTGATGAGTCTGATAAAAATGATTTGATCCTCTTAGTTACACAGCTTATAACGATAATAAGTATTTATTTAAAGCTGCTTCACTTTGTTTATCAAATCTAATCTGGGCTATTGGTTTAATCCTGGCATAGGTCGAGAAAATAGCTTGATATTTTTTCAATCCGGTTTTCCCTGTAAGTGATGCAGGTCGGAGGGGCTGACTTGGAAAAAGCGCCCAGTCGTTCGGATGGGACAAAAACCGAGGCGTTGTCCTTTTTCTTTAGGGAAGTTAAGGTACCTTTCATCGGAATAATTTCCACACCCGCCGAGAAGTAGAATCAGATATATTATTATCTAACACCCGCATCAACAAGAAAGCATTTCACAAAAATATACACAAGAACTTCATTATCAATACCAAATTTAATGTGTCTGTTTTTCGTCCCTACACAGAATAAAAGATAAAACTACAGCTCTAAAAAGGTAGGCCTAATCACGAACGATGGGTTGATTTTTGCAAGAATTAGATTATGTAACATAATAAACATTGCTAACAAGATTACGAAAGCCAGCACTGTCACTAAGGACACTATCATGGAGCACATTTCCTTATGAAATACTTTCTTTCTACTGAGAAAGGATTTAATCAAGGTATTAGTTCTGAGTTACACATGCAGAGACGTGCCAATTATAAATCCCATAAATTTTAATGTTGTAGTAGGCCTGGCTTTTTTTTTCTGTCGATAACGGATTACCTAATAACATACTCCAAAAAAGCAATCCATGATAATTTTTCAATCTCATTGGTTTATCCTGAACTACAAATCAATGGAATCATTCAAGTAGCGTTCGATATTTAATAATCCTTCATCTTTATTGAATTACCACTGTCCACTGCAAGAATGTGGAGCCAATGGGAACACACTTATAATAGGTGTAGAATTGATGTTGAAATTTGATTCCCAAAAGATCAAAATCATCAGGATTCACTCGCAATAATTGGAAGAATATTTTCCTACGCATGCTTTTTATAAACCATGGAATTAAAGTAGACCCTTCATGCGAAATATTTTGTAAAAAGTGACTGGCTAGCAGCTGAAACCGACTGGCTAATCTGATGTTTTCAGCTTGCCAGTTTCTAACCCACTGGATTGGCTATTGAAAAAAAAAATCAGATGAATAAAGCAGCTAAAACGGCTTTTAGTTAATTAATTTTTTAAGTTATAATGCTTGAACATACATTATAAACGGAATGCATCATATAGAAGTCACAAATGTTAATCAAACTTTAAAAACGAATTATCATGCATATTCAGCAAGTAACGATCGTTTTGAATTAAAAGCAAGGCCTTCGATCGACAACATAATCTTTACCGCAACTTTGCTTGCATGTACAGCTAAAAACAGCAAAATGAAGATATAAAGTTTCATGTATTTTCCAGAAAACCAAAGGGTTTTCTTTTCCATCAACTTTCAGTACATGTTTCAAATAGTCAATCACAGTGACTTGACTCTATAACGAAGTTTATTTGACACTTATAGATGGCGGCCTTAGCTCTACATCTGGAACTGAAATTGATAGCTGACTGGATGACTGATTTATATATTTGGATAAATTGTCATATGAAAAAAAACATGTATAAGCACACATTAATCAGAATCTCGTTCAATGTTTGGCAAATTCGAGCGAGACCAAAAGAAGAAGCATCATTCTGCAGAAAAACAAAATATGCATTTCACATGGATTCAATTTAAGAAAAAAAAAAAAAACACGCTCATTGGTGTATTAATACAGTGCTTGTATTGCCCCCCCCCCCCCCCACCCCCTCGCTCACTCCTTCGCTCAATCCTATACCCCCTCGGTGGCTTATGGCAGCGGCTCAAGGGTTTATTTACAACTCATGATCCAAAACTATTCAGAGACCTCTATTTGCAGACAGCTAGTTTCGAATGTAACCCGCACGTGCAAATTCATTTTTGGTTTGAATTAAATTAATAGACTGAGAATAAGCGAAGCTTGATGATTGGTCAACTATTTATACCATCCAATAATATTTTGCCGACTGAAGCTAATGATTCGAAGAAGACATCTCACAATATTCACAGCAACGTTTTGATAAATTGAAGTAGGTTGTTTTTCGTTATAATTTTTATAAAGCATCCTAATGGGTTATGAATCCAGAGCCCGGTTACTTTGGTTGGTTGATTTTGAATAAAACGCATGTGTTAACATGTCAACCATATAATTTCTTATTTCACAGAATGGTTTGAGAGAAAATCTTTACATAAATCGAATTTTTCAAGTATTCTTATGAGGATCAGAAATAGTACTGTTGATCTTAGAATGTCTCACTTTATTACTTTGAAATTTTTTTCAACAGAAGACGTTTTTCAGCTAAAATTTTGAACTTTTTGGCTGAAATTTTTTGTATTCTATTCATCATTGACTTGCAAAAATTAATATTAATTTATTCATTTGCATACTATTAACACTGTTTTAAAGCAAGCCTAATATATAAATGCATGCGAAGACAGTACAGAGGTTGATCTTCGGACTATTGTGTTTTCTGAATTGATTTACTTTCCAAAAATTGTTGGTTTGGTTGATTTTTTGTTGTTGTTTCTTGTTTGTACTTGTGGCTCACATAATTTTCACCAAGTAAAAAAAGTTTTTAATTCAAAATAAGAAGTGGAAATGTCGTATGTGAGCCACCATACAAAACTACATTTTATGGTATGTCAAGATATGTCTCAATTTTTGTCAGGTTTCCTGGCAGTATGATGAAGGACAGTATATTTCTAATTTTCTGTATTTTGCTTCCGGCACTGAATTGTCAGAAAAAAGGTAGGAACATCTCCATGATCTAAATCTGTATTCAAGTAGAACGGTTCCTGATACTTTGAAGAGACCGAAGAAACAACTATTTTTACATCGATCACAACTTAGGTTCACGGGGATCCTTTTCGCCGGCATTATCCGTACCCATCCACAGCTGGGTCGACTGCAATAATTAGCCGACGAAGAACACCTTTCAGAACCCTCGACTACCATTTGTTCAATGTAACCAAAGGAGTAAAATTAAAATTATCACGCTCTAACCGGCTGTGCAACGGAACCCCTCGATGATAAAGGTTTTATGAACATTGCTAGATAATAAAGAACCCAATACAAGTAGAATGTTCTTGTTTATGTTTGAATCGTACCCGGATGTGTAAAAATATTTTGCTAGACTATACATTGTATTTTACTAGAATCACAAAATGTTTTTGTTATTTAAGAATAATATAATCTGTTCTGATTTTCTGTTTGATTGTTTTAGTATTTTCAGATCGGTCTAAGGCGAAGAGATTGCGATTTCCATCAATTGTTTTAGTAGATTCTATTGCGACCGGTGAATCGGCAGCAAATGGAGAAACACCATTCTTAGGTTCATTAACGTAAGTGCATCACATTTAATTATTACTATTGGTTGTGCTACCTCTTCCAAAACCTAAATTTAACATGAATACTAAAAACTTTAATAGTTTAACAGATCTACCTTATTGTTTTCATGATATCATTATTCCAATCATTCTTTCATTATATTTAACACAGAGTTTTTAGGTTTGGTTCGATTTATTTTACATAAACAATTTCCTTTGAATGTGGGCACAAATGTTCTTATTTTAATATTATATACGTACATTCAAAGGATTGTAAATTCTTTTAGATCAAAACATACGTGTAGTGAAGAACAGAGAAAATCAAAGTTCCGATCAGCTGATGGTAGTTGTAACAATCTAGAACATCCCGCATGGGGACAAGCAGGAGCTTCTTATCTCAGGATGATAAGTGATCATTATGATGATGGTAAATGTAAAGATTCTTATTTGAAATACTCTATGGAAGTCAAACATCCTGATTGGAATAGGAAGACTGTTATTAGATTATAAAATTTGGGTTTATTTTATATTTCTGGGAAGAGAGCGTTTGATTTGAACTCTATTTCAACAAGAATCGACTGTTTCGCGTGGTATCCTGATTACTGTCATCTAGAATCTGATGATTAATCTTTTCGTGTCTTATATTCCTTTCAGATGAATCAGTACCACGACAAACTTCAGAATTAGGCTCTCTGTTACCAAGTGCTAGAACAGTTAGCCAAGAAGTGTTCAACTCCGAAAGCCACCCATCTGCCAGACTTACGCAAATGGCCATGCAATGGGGACAGTTTCTAGATCACGATCTTGCTTCAACACCTGCAGAAATAGGTATAAAATGGCATTTCATGCATCTCAGGTATTTCTTCTGGCGATCAATTTAGTTTACAAGGGTATAGACATTTTATTATCAGCTTTCTCATCTGGAAGATCTCAATTTCATCAGCTACCTGGATCACATTTCATCAGATTTTCCCACAGTTGAACATTTGAAAATGAGGAGAGCATATACTTCGACAGCTTAATACCGTCACCCCTGTCCGCCGTCGGTCCATCGGGTCTTTCAACAATTCTCATGAGCACAATAAAGACTACAGTTTCTGATTTAAATGAAATTTGCTGAGATCATTTATTTTGTTGAGATCTTGGTTAAGTTCGAACATGGTTATTACACTTGACTTAGTCAAAACGAGTCAAAATTGGCCAGTAAGTACGGTAAGACAAGAATTTTCAAATGATTTAGATGAAATTTGGTCTGATTATTTATTTTGATGAGATTTTTCGGTGAACCGCTTTTAAGTTTGGCCCTTGACTTAAAACGCGCCAAAACCTGTTTATCAATACAACAGAAGCTGCAATTTTGAATTTGAGACTTAATATGATCATTGGAATTGTTAAGTTCTTAGGTAATGAGTTGATTACCTATCTGAGTATTGAATAGAAACTTGTCAGATTAGTTATTATTCATGCTGCTCTTTATGGAATCTAAAAATATGTCCAAGCTTCTGTGTGGCTGATTGTTTACCTTGCCGGGCACGCCATCTTAAAAATGTCCATGTACTTCAATTGTTTTTCACACAGTAATACAGTAAACCAGCTAACTCTCCCTTGAATATAGGATAGGTATTCATACAAGTATTGCCTTAACATTCATTTAAACGAATAGTGATTATATTGTATAATTAAATCTGATATTTTTTTCAGTGAATAAAACTAAATGTTGTGAAGGCATAAAAAAAAAATCTTATTTTTCCGGGTAAAATATTTTTACACATTTCAATTACCTCCCTTTACACTATTCTGTGGCACTCATTGAAATGAATCCAAGGAGTTGTAAATGAGTTTGCTAGCTTTATGCAAATCTGGACCATTTTTGGCTTCCAGATATCTGTGGTTCCTGTTATTATACAAATTCTGAATTGCAATTTACGTCACTATCATATCACAATTACTTACTTGAAGTTAGTCAAGAGTTTAGTTTTAATTGAATTGCAAGAGCAAAGACGTCCGACTATAATGTTAAAAAATGGAATGGTTCAATTCGATACATATAAAGTGTGGAAAACCTCTTTACAAACACATTAATTTACAAGAATAGACCTATTTAATTAATAGTCGGATTAAAAAAAAATTCAAATTTCGTAATCCAAGCAATCGACATATTTGCATATTGTCTAGTTTGAATAGTTGTTCACAAATCTCAATATCATAAACTAAGCTTTTCTGATAAGTATTATATATCCAGCAAGCTTGTCGGTAGAATGAGATGAACTCAAGAAAATTAGGATTTTTAAGACAATCCGTTTCATTATATAATTACAGAGAGGACTGTTTTCCGATTTATATTGAAGAGGGTGATTCGTATTTCACATCTGATTGTATGGGATTTGCCAGGTCACAAAGATACGAAGGACATACTACATGTAAGTTGATTTTTTTTAGTAAGTTATCATTTGCTCAAATAATGACAATCACAGACCAAAATGTGCCCCCGTCTATTATCTTCAAGTTTTAATTAAATGTATTTATACCGGAGAACCGGAGCTGAAAACATTTAGGAACAAGATGCAAGAGTGCAAAGCCATAAAATTTTCGAAATTTCATTTCAGACGGAAAACGCCAACAATTTAACACAATAACATCGTTCATAGATGGTTCAATGGTTTATGGAAGTTCAGAGGAAGAGATGTTGATGCTGCGAGCCGGGGAAGACGGTAATTGCATTTTTTCGTATAAACGTGACTCGGAATGGGCTCGTCTGTATATATAAGTGACCAATTAATGAATTAAATATCGCTACATATACCGAGCATATATCTAAAGTGGTTTACCCCACGAGGACCGTAATTCTAGTATTCGCCCCAAATATTTAACTATCAATTCAAATAGATCTTATTTTGAAACATGTATTTAACTCTAGGATTAATGTCAACAACTGATGTGCCTGGCGGTGAATCATTTTTGCCAAATGATAGTAGTCCAGGAGCTTGTAAAAATCAGGACGATGTAGGAATTTTCTGTTTCTTGGCAGGTAACACAAAAAACTTTCTAATTTTGTTGCTTGATATTAAGATCTTGATTTCCTTATATTTTGAGTTTCAAATTAAGCAAACTATTTGAGTATTTGGTGTTTTTTAATGAATTATCATATATTTTTAATCATATTATTTTTTATTGCATATAATTAAGAGTTTTAACCAATCATAAATATCCAAGTATGTACAGTCTGGATAAACAAAAAAATACTTTGACTTTTCTTGATAGGTCACTCATTGGAATTCTGCTAGTAATTCTCTTCTAATTTCGTCGCCATCCATGTCCGTCCTTCCACCAGTCCATCTGTTCGTCCACAATTACTCGTAATCACTCTAGATGGCGCAATTCTTGATTTTGACGAAACTTGGTGTGAGTATTTATCACCGAAGCATGAACCCTATTGAAAATCAGAAGAATCGAAAAATATTTAGTATGAGTTATTGTCCTTGTTCTTTTTTTTTTAACTCATAAGCACTGAAAGGCACGATTCCTGCTAGACAAAACGTGATAATATTATTCAGTATCGCCAGAAAATAGTTCAAAAGAAGTGTATGACTAAAGGTTGAATGTTTCATACGGGTGAAGTGTAAAACTGTATCCTATTTTATTATTTTATTAACAGGTGATGCTAGAGTTAATGTAATACCAGGACTCCAGGCTATGCATACACTTTTTGTCAGATTTCATAACAGGATTGCCACAGAGCTGAAAACGATAAGCGAAGTCAAAAATCTTTTTAAGATGACAGAATCGGCATCAAATAATGATGAGTTTCTCTATCAAACAGCTAGAAAAATAGTGGCCGCTGTTATCCAAAGAATCACTTATAAAGACTACATTCCAAGCGTTTTTGGCAGAGAATTCGTGCATCAATTTAAACTAGATCAACCCTACGAGTATAAACCTTCTGTCAACCCACAGATCATCAACGAATTCACCACAGCTGCATTTAGATATGGACATTCGTTGATAACAGATAGCATGAAACTGAATGGCAAGGACGTACCATTGCACGAACTATATTTCAACACAGTACCAGTTCTCAAAAACTTCTCACAAGTTATTACAAACTTAATAGAGGGGCGGTCTGAAAATTCGGATAAATATTTTTCAAAAGAAATGACAGATAAGTTATTCCTGACGAGTAAAGGGTCACTAGATATAGTGTCTCTAAATATTCAGAGAGGTCGAGATCACGGTTTGCCCTCCTTTGCTGAATATCGCAAGATCTGTAAGTTACCACCTGTAAAGAGATTTGAAGATTTTGGAGATTGTGGACGAGCACTACGTAATGTTTACAAGTTTGTATACTTTGATTATCAATTTGTCTTTAAGGGACCGATTCGCCATTTTCGGGGGTTGATTTGGGTCTTTAATATATTTAATTGGTTGTGTTTGGATCATAAACATGGGGCCAGTGTTCCATTGTATTGTACAAGTTAGCTGTTTTTAGCCGATGTTTCAGTTGCTTAATTAAACTGCTTCGAATGAGGCAGTGAATTTTAAAATTACACACAAACGATGTCCGTATTCGTATTATTTACGATTTTCTGGCTTCTGTTCACATCAAAACTCGTGTTTTTTTTTATCAGGAGCCCAATGGATGTCGACCTGTATGCTGGGGCTATTTGTGAAAAACCACATGGAGGCAATGAAGTTGGTCCTACGTTTGCTTGTATAATTGGTACCCAGTTGTACACCTTAAAGAATGGAGACAGGTTCTTCTATACAACTCTTAATCATAATCTTGGTTTCACTGCTAGTAAGTCATATAATTCCTTATAGCATGTGTTGAATAAAGCTACCCTGATCGTGCGGAAATAATATTTTCAAAGTTTTATAGCTTGATCTTTGCGAAGTATGCAACATAGATTGGCCATCAAGACAGACAAGTTCTATCCAGCATTTGCTTTTGACATTTGAATAGTATGTATTGTATTATAACCTTCCGTATTTTCAGAAAGATAAGATTAATGAACAGATAACTGCTTCGATTTGGAAACTTTTCCCAACTCACCCTTCAACGGACATTCTTTCTCATATTAACGTTTGGGATTGCTTATTGAAACTTTTCACTGCAATATATTTCAGAACAACTTCAGTTCATAAATAAAATAACTTTGTCCTCGTTATTTTGTGAATTCGGTGAAATTGGTGAAGTTCAGAGTAATGTATTTTTTCCATCAAATCGAATGTAAGTTTACTAATTTCGGTATATCATTTTAAGTGATAATGTAACCTTAATATTTGCTTGATCAGCTGATACAGCTCCATTTCAGCCATATCACTTTATCACTTTATCACTTTTCAGAAATTATCTCTTACGTTATTCAACAAAGACGTAATAAACTTGCATGCTTAAATGCAAGATGGATGACGGTTGTACTCAATTGTACGAGAATCTGACTTCGAATTTCGGAAGTTAAATCCTTTCTTCTGGATAAGCAAATGTTTAGTTGGACTATATCACAAAAGATAAAGTTTGTTTGTATTATTAGGACCAATGTGCACCGATCAAAGCAAATAGTACCTTTTCAGGATATAGAATATTTGAGGGAAATGTTATTCATGAATTTTCTAGATTCTTTCCTAGTTATAACTCACATTACTATATAGCCCGTATCTCTTACTTTATACTGTAAGACTTTTTTATTTTCAGTAACCGTGTTAGAAAATGTAACAACTTTGCTGTTCCATGGACTCGTGATTTGTTCGAGTTCTAAAACTAATATAATAAAGTCGACCAGACAGAACCGTTCATTCTTTTTCGTGCTATCGGCAATGGGGTTGGTTGGTCAAAAAGAGCCCTCTTGGCAGACTTTTACCAAAATGTTTGGTTTAACTCCTATTTCAACCTATTTGAAACCTTTACAAGGTTAAAAATATTTCGATTGTAAATTGCATGCTCATATATCAGAAACGGCACGAAGAACAGGTTTGGAGCCAGTGGATTTGAGTTTGAAGAAAAACTTCCATAAAAACTTTCACACTCGAATCATTCGAAGTCCTTTTGACTTTTGACTGTTCCTGTACAGTACTAGATTTCATAAATGATTACATTATCAATATACGGCCAATGGTCGTGAGTAGCCTTCGCAATTTACATGAAAACGCCATAATTTCAAGAACATATGCAAAGTACTTAATGTTGAAAACGATGGGGTAGTGCAGACAAATCATAACTTACATTTCAGTATTATTCATAAATCATTAAAGCTAGGACCATCGTATTTTGACCTAATATAATTATAGAGATATTAGACATCTTTTCAACAAATGACAGGACAAACTGTTAAAATTTTCCATGACAAAATACTATATTGCCTTTCTAGTTTCATCAAAAAGTATTTCATTCCAGTTCTCTTCTTTTCTTACCTTCAGTTCCCATAGTTATCTCCCATTGTAAAAACAAAAGGCAATTTTTTCATGGAAAAAGTTTTTCGAGGAATTTTTGCTGAATATGGTGGGCGCATTGAGCTTTTTTATATTATTTTGCAAATAAAGACTTTGACTTTATTGAATTTTGAATATTATATATTTATTTTAAATATTATTTCAATTTTAAGAAGGCTGGTATATCGAAGCGGTTAAGTCTATAAAGCTGTAATTTGGTATAAAATATATGTCTAATATCTAAATAAGCACATTGTCTAATATTATTGTCTTAGCCTAGACACCTTATAAGACAAGATTCGGTATGGCATGGTTTAGTTCAAAAAGGAAAAGAAATACGGGTTTGCTAATCCGTTGTTGACTGTTTATCGTTAAGAAGTTGTGTATTGATCAATCTGAGAATTGTTGTCTTAAGGTTGGCCATTATTTTCCCTATATTTACAAAGTATAAAGTAAAGGAAACGAACCAAGTCGCTATGTGAAAAACGAGCATAAAGTCAAACCGAGTTGTTTGCCTTGCATATTTGGTACAAGAAATATTTTGGCTACCAAAGTAAAATTCAATATTGATATTAAATCTCGGTCGTTATTAACCTGCAATATTTAGTTCAAAATACAAGAACATTTATGCTGTATACATGTAGTTGTGCTGTGTACTTCATAGAAAAAGGTCTACTTTGAAAGTTTATATATATAAATATCCGATAATAAATGGAAACCATAGCTTGACCGAACCATGTCAATGTTGTCACCTGATCACGTGATTCTGGTAGTTTAAACATCCGAGACTGGTCGTTCAGGACTAGAAAACATACTAGGCTAGTACTTGTGACTCAGATTGGTATGGTTCTGAAATTTACATACTGAAAGAAGAGTTAAACTTGAATGTTAACTTGAAAAAAATAACTTTAAAATCGGACGTTACTCGAATAGAAACGTGTACAAAAGAATAACAATGGGCTGACAACGATCTGACGATATGACGGTTAATAAACATAACTCTTAACTATATTAAAGTATCATAAATATTGTGGTAACATTATCTATTTTTATCTATGTCAAATATCATTAAAGTAATATTATTAAAGGTAATAATTTTGAATACAAATAACTAAGAAATCGGTAAGTATGCAAATATCAGAAAGAGTTCTTAATCTTCAAAGACATCTGACCTCCTTTAAATATCCAGGACGATTAAAGTCTCATTCCATATCTACGTAATTAGTTTGGTCGACTACTGATATCTACTTATGGATTGCGATCTGAAAAATTATGTCGCTGGTTTATTTAGTTAATTGTCAAATAAAATTCAAATACAAAAACTGCAGTGTAAGGGAAATTTCAAACCCCAACCTTCCTGTACATTTGTCCCAATGAATGTTGATTCTGTCCAGCGGATCTCGTGAATATCAGCATAATACGTTCAAGTATTAACGGGCATTATGCCTATATTCCCGAAATATACTCAGACTTTGACTTCAATAGTACCATCTGCTCCCATCTTGTCCAACCATATGTTACCTCAAAGACAGACACTTATCTTGTAAGACTGAAGATGTAAAGTTTTAATAATCCAATAAGGTTAATATACATATATCACTCCCAATTCATTCTCTGAAATACAGCGGTATCTCTTACCCGGCAGACTGTATATTTTGTTAACTACATCTTACTTACCTACCAATGATCCACTACTTCCGTTTCCGGTTAAATGTTAACATGCGATATGATGTGTCTTTTTCGCAATTTATTTAAACCGGATAAATTATTCTGATAAGGCTTACCGCAACAAAAATACTTTAGACAAATCTACTCCAAACATTAGTCAAAGAAAACTCAACCAAAATTCAAACAATAACGGTAAAAAGATGGCGTCTGTGAAGGAAAGATTGTCACGTGAATGTAAGGTAGAGGTTATCAGACTATAGTTCTTATCTTAAGATTATCAAATATCTATAATTGAACAACCCGTGTGAAACATTGTAACAATGAGGTCAACATATCTAGTTTGAATCGTAAATAATTCGGATGTTGACTAAAGATCTGACCAATTGATTGGTGCGAATGTTTCAGAGCATAAATATCGACCAACTTTATCAAGTTTGTTTCTGACTAAAACATTTTGCAAATTTGACTTTTTTGTGTCGTTTAAGGTTGTCAATCCCTATGAAAAGGCAGTCAAAAGTTGCCTTTCAGAAACCAAAACATTAAGTTTTGCACAATAGTAAGGTAGTTCGGTGCGGTCATGTTTGCTGGTATTATCCACTTCCCTTTAACATAAAATACCTACCCAATGCCGATATAGTAGAAAGTTACTAAGTTTAAGTGAAATTACAATCTTACCAGTTGAAAAACGAATAGTTACTGGGTTGATAAAAGAATGTTACAACCTAATGTTAAACTTTTTGAAGGTCAAGGTCATAAGATGTCATTTTGTAACGTTTGATAAAATGTCAGTATTCGATTGAAAATATGACGAGAAGCCTAAGGCTAAATAAAGGTGTAATCTTAGTTCATTCTTGAATGTATGTGATAGAAAGATAGATTGTAGGAATGACTGCATTAGTAATCAATAATAGGACAAGGTGATTATATCGGTCCCAATAACTCTCTATGTCAGTTAAAATGCATACCATTTTTGAGACTATAGAGAAATTAATATTTTCAAAAGAGATACTCTATTTATATCGTACAAAACTCTACAGTCAAAGATGGTTAGAGTCAAAGCATTGAACTTATTCAAAAGTAAGTTACGTGCTCAGCAGCGAAAAGGTGTTATAAATAGAAACTAAAGAAGTAACCTACCTCAAGCCTATTTTGGAAAAATTGTAATTACCATGGACAATTGTTCACTCATGTTACTGTTCCTCTCTTACTATCGAGGGAAAAGTTCATTTTAACCCTCCGGTCAGTGATACACACGTCGATTGAGCTGCACTTGAAACTAAATAAAAATACTGCAACACGTAAGAAACATTAATACTATTACACAAACTTAATGATAGTAAATGTGATTGAAGACCGAATACCCCCAGGGCTACCCTATACTAAAGTGACACATCATAAAGGGACCATAACACCCCTCTAGCCTATATGATTTATAACCCTATAATCGACATTTACTCAAATTTATGTAAATACAAAACAAAGGTGAACGTAATTTTATTAATTGGTTTTAGGTGTACCGTTATGTACTGTAATATAGCCAGTTGCCTGTATATATGCTTGTAGGCCAACACAGTTTATATACATATTTGTGTTTATCTAATGTTGGTCTTCCTTTTTTGAGAGTCTCATCACAGCATATGTAACAACCCCACCCCACCCCTTACAACCATTGTTCTAATCTTTTGACCTGTATTACTGTTTATTCTTTATGCATTTAATCCACGCGTATCGGTGTGTATAAAAAAGGGAATTACTTAAATGACGGTCGTCATATTTAGCAACAAAACAAAACTGCAAATGGACTAAAATGTTTATATTATATAATCGACAAAAACAGAAATATTTGAATGAGATAAGAATTAATTCTTCCATTATAAAAGCTCGAGACATGGGTATGAATACGTCACTACAATCATAATTATGTCAAGTTAGAATTAAATATCTTTTAACTTCCTTTTAATTTTTGATATATCATTTGAAGTTTAATCTTCCCTTTTGATTTAATCTTCCCTAATCAGAATATCAAAGATTGATTTGCACTATTATAATAACATTAATTTCATGCATTATATTTTAGATACAATTTTAACATATATTCCAAAATGTGCTTTTGTTTTTCAAAAAAAAATGAATTCGACAAAATAGCTTTTTTCTTTTTTTGGTAAGAATGGATTAACTTCTCTCCCATACACCCATTCCAGTCTGATCCAAGTTATTAATCGGGTGCTTACAGATCATGGACCATTATAATGATTTGAACATCGTTTACGGGAGGTGCTATTAAATATCGGAAATACGTTTATGCTCCGTTTTCTTACTACGTTGATAACTGAACTTGTCAAATAGTTACAACAGCTATCTACTTTAGTTTCAATGTAAGACGATTAAAAGCAAAGAATGTAAGTAAGTCTAAAATACAATTTATCAAATGGATCTATCAGTCCTAATCTCATTGCAAGCGTTTAACAGTTGTAAATTAAGTGAATAAGCGGTCGTGCATAAAAACAACTTAGTGTGCCAATAATAAGTCGTAAACTGTAAAAGCTCATGGTATTGACTTATAGCAATATTCGATCAATTCAAATGAAATAATATCGGTACCCTACTGCACTTTTAAGTACTTATTGTTTACTGTATTCCAGATTGACTTTTTCTGTTACTA